CTTTGGCTCAGCACTGCCAGGAATATGAGCTTAGCAGAGCTGGAGAGGACTTTTTTAAAGCGTCTATACAAACATGATTTGTTTTGTAATAACTCTTCTGTTTTGTTTTGAAGGGGATGATGGCTCTGGGATCTGAGGGGCTGGAAGACAGCTCTGAGCAGCTCAAATTCCTCCCCACGTGCTATCAATTAACGTCTTCATTAAACACCCAGATCAAAGCTGCTTCCAGCCAGAGCATGACGGCGCAACAGAGCTGGGCTTTGTGAAGTTGCCTGCAATTGGTGACAAACTGAGAAAGGGCTTGGCTTGTCCTCTACCAGCTACACATGAAATTGGAGAAGGCTGCGAAAGGAGAGAGCAAGTGTCCTTCCATCACAGTCCAGGCCAAAAAAACAGGACCCAAGCCGCGGCACACAATGAGGGACGTGCTGCACATGTGCTTGCTGAGGGTCCCTGTGGGCCACCTCAGGTCCTGCAGGTGCCCAGAGCATCTCCCCATTGAGCTGCTGAGGCATGACCTGGAGTTAATCTAGCAAAGCATGAAGGCTGGAAAAGTCATCTGGAAGGAAACGAGACCACAGCGTTGTCCAGATGAATATTTCCTAGAGGCTCTCCAACGCATCTTCTGCCTCTACTTTATTTCATCCATGGGCTTCCAGGAGCCCTGCCCTGCTGATGTTCCAGCTGTTGTCCGCACCAACAGACGGAAATGGGACCACAGTTTTTGTTAATACTCATAGAGCAGCAGGGACAGTGGTGTAGGGCCAGGAACGTTGTGACATTTGGGGAAATAACTTCTCCCCACACGTTCTCCCACCGTAATGCTCAGCTGCAAACCACAGCAGCACGTGATCGGGGTTTGGTCTCCATCATATCCAAAAAGTCATGGCTGTCAGTTGAGGACCCCAGTGACTGGAAAGAGGGAAACATCACTCTCATTTGTAGGAAAGGCAGAAAGAAAGACCTGGGGAACTACAAGTTGGTGAACCTCATCCCTGCGCCTGGGAAGATAGTGGAACAGATCTTCCTGGAAGAGATGTCAAGGCACATGCAAGATGCAGAGGTGATCCAAGATAGCCAGCATGGCTTCACAAAAGGCAGATCATGCCTGAGCCAGCTGGTGGCCTTCTCTGATGGGGTGATGGCATAGGTGGACAAAAGAGGGACAAATAATGTCGTCTGTCTAGACTCGTGCGGGGCCTTTGATATGTTCCCACATCACATCCCTGTCTCTAACCTGGAGAAAGATGGACTTGAAGGTTGTACTATTTGGTGGATAAGGAATTGGTTGGATGGTCACAGCCAGAGCGTTGTGGTCAGTGGTTCCACGTCCAAGTGGAGGTTGGTCAGGAAGGGTGTCCCCCAGGGGTCCATCCTGGGACTGATGCTCTTCAACACCTTCATCAATGACACAGGCAGTGGGACTGAGTGCACCTGGGGACAGTATCCAGGGGACCTGGACAGGCTCGAGAAGCAGCGACACAAGAACATGATGCTCAGCAAGGCCCAGTGCAGGGTGTTGCACTGGGGTTGGGGAATCCCACATGGATCTCTCACTCATTAATGCTTGAAATGAGCTTATCAACAGGAGGGGAGGGGAAGTGGCTTTTCATGCAGTCTGATAGAGATAGGACAAGGGGGAACAGCTTTAAAATAAGCCAGGGGAGAATTAGGTGAGATGTGAGGAGGAAATCCTTCACCCAGAGGGTGGTGAAGTGCTGGCATTGCTGCCCAGAGCTTTGGGTGCCTCGGTGCAGCCAGCCCACAGCAGGGATGGGACTAAATCCATTTAAGGTCCCTTCCAATACAAACCATTCTATGATTCTATGATTAATCTGGGGCTTGAGGGAAAATCATAGCAAAAAAAATTGTTCCAACACATCATTTTTGGGGTCTTTCTTTTTTCTTCCCAGTAGAAACACCATTTTAGCCATAGTATAAATGTTCAAAAAGGACTGTTGGTTTCAACAAATGTATTCTGCAGAGTTCATGAGCTAGAACCAGCTTGTCAACATTCACACTGTCCTGTGCCTGCACTTGGTATATTTTTGGTGTTTTTTTTTTTCATTAATATGAAAATGAGTCTGTTTAATGTCTATTTAGTTGTTGTTGTTCTTTAAAAGCAGAAAATAATAGGAGAAAGCGCAAGAGAACAAAATGAAATAGAAAATATAAAAAGCAACGGTTTCCTCCCCAGATTTTACTTTCGTGTCGGCCCCTGTTTGTATGATGTTTTAGTTTCCAGGTCACTTTGGGAACAGACCACTTCCCTGCATCCCAGGAGCCTTCCTGAGCTGGAAAGCCCCAGTGCTGCCCAGCCCTCGGGTGGCGTTGGGGAACCTCAGGCCAGGAATCCCAGACGCACCGAAGCAGCCGGGGCTTCCCACCACAGGACTCCTTTCTCCACCCTCCCAAGCGTCTCTGTGGTTGGGAAATTACAATCTCGGTGTAAAACTGGCGTTGTCCAGCTCAGCTGCCCATGGGAAGTGGCTTTGCCCACAGTGTGCAGTGCTTGGCGGCGTGTGGCTTCCCTCAGAAACCCGGCCTGTCCAGGAACGCCGGGCTCTGTCCTTGTGAGCATCTGTGCCAGGATGGAAAGTGTGGGCACTGAGCAGCCCTCGGCTCCCCGGCACCCATCCGAGCACGGCGCAGTTCCGTGACACAGCCGTTCTATTTATTACCTGGGTAAGCAGTGGCTGCAACAGGAATTGCACAGAGTTCCTGCAGCTGATAGAGCAATAATCAAGTTCGTCATTGTGCAGTGCCAGACCAGCCCTGGATCTGCCCCACTCCTTTCAGGTGCTGGTGTGGCTCTTGCTCGTTTTCTCGCCTCCTGTTTGAGGCAGCTGGAAGGAAGGCTTCCTCTGCTGCAGCATGTCTTGGGGTGGGCTGAGAGCATCTCCTGTCTGCGGACATTGCAGCTGCCTTAACAGAAAGGGAAACTCCTCAGCCTTCCCCAGAAACCAGAACCAAGGCAAGAAATTCCTCAGTGGGAACACAAGAGAGAAGTGTCCCGGGGAAAAGAAACCCAAAGCAAACAACAACAAAAACCCCACGTCTCAGCCTCAGAGAGCCAAACCTTGGGAAAAATAAAGCTGGATTTGTTTGAGCAACTCCCCCTTGGATGGGAGAAAAGAAACACAGATGCCTCAGAACTGGTGCCAACAAGCTCCTGATTTGGGGGGGGGCGGAAATTCAGACTGTCACATTTCAGGTTTACTTCTATGAATCTGTGCAATGCAAGCAAGGCACCGTGCGGTGATGTCTCTCCTGGCACTCTGAATTAATACAGCCCCATTTGCCTTTGTGGAATGGCGCCAGTTTTCTCCTGCTGAGCTCCTGGACCTGGGTCTACCTCAAAGCAGAAGAGAAAGCCTGGCTGCCAACCTGGCCAACCCTCTGCCTGCACTGATCTGCTTGCAACTGCTGCTGATGACAGGAGTGGATAGGGATGCAGGCACCCTCACCAAGCACAAAGCGTTCTGCAGCATCACCTTTTGGTGCTCGGGGTGTCCAGGATGGGAGCACCCAGCTGCTCTCAGGGAAATCTCAGAGCACACAATGTGCTGGCTGAACAGCAGCAGCTGAGCCAGCGGAACACTTCTCCTGTGTCCAGGTTGGTGCTCGGCGAGCTGCTGGTGACCCCCCAGCACCTTGCTGCCCTTCTCACCCCGAGGAGTATTGCTCACATCAGCCCTCACCTGGAGGAGATGCTTAAGGGTATCTAAGATGTTTAAGGCCCCCAATGGGACGCAGGGCTGTGTGAGGTCTGTGTACATGGGCATGATGCCAGAGGGGATGGCAGCCGACGGCCACAGTGCATGGAGCAGTCCTGGGCTTGGGGCACATAGGTGAGAGCTGACCTTGATGGGTGCAGCACTTGTTCTAGGACACATGCAGCCCATGGTGGGTATGCTGGGGACAAGGGCACTGTTGGGGCAGGGACATCTGCACCTCGTGACACTGATATACAACAGGCCCCTGGGTCCCTCCTGCAATTCAGCATCCTTCTTTTGTTGAAATACCAGAAAAAAGGGGTTGTGATGAACAAAAAATTGATGCTTCTCCCAGCTCCAGCACTTCCCAGTAGTGGGAGGAAGCAGAGCTGAGGACTGGTGCTCTGAGGACCTGCTTCCATGGCACACATGAAAAAACAAATATGGAATTGGAACCCACTGGAAAGTGGCTTGCTGAGTTGGTGTCACCTGTGCCATTAGCACTGAGCAGGGGGACCTTTTCTCTAGATCAACTGAAGGCACCTGCTCCCATGTGGCTTTGAGTGCCAGAATCCACCATGCCCTGGTACTGTGTTCCAACCACAAGACCCTGCTGTGTGTGTAACAGCCCCAAAAGGTGTAACATCAACGTCCCAGCTGCAGAGCCTGGCTCCAGGCTGGTCCTGGCTCCTACAGCACCACAGCTCTGAGCACTTTGAGTTTTAGCGTGGAACCTGCCCCACATAGGGCCAACCCAGTGTTTGCCCCTGCAAGGCCAGGAGGGCACCAAAGGGCTTCAGGATCCATTGGGAAGAAAACACAGTGATGTGCCCATTGAGACATTCAGGAAGAGCAAAATGTGAGACGATGCACACTGCCCTGCTGAGCTCAGCCCAGGGCTGTCAGGAGCCAGGCACCAGCTGTGCCATCTCACTGCTGCCCAGATCTGGGGTGTCCCCTGAGGTGCATGTGGCCATGCTCTGCTCTGTGTGCTCACCCCATGGAGGCTGCAAGACCTACCCATGAATTCAGTGACATGTCTGCAGGGCTTGGGCCTGCAGCCATCTGGCTTCCAGCACCAGACTGGGACAGGACACCTCTAATGCTGCTCCCATGCACACTGTGCACATGGAGCGACATGAACCTTTGCCGGGCTGGGAGCATCCCATTAAAAACTGCTGGGAAGGATTAGCCCAGCCACTGAAAGGGGGCTTAATATGGGGTTAATATGGGGTGAAGGAGCAGGCGCTGCCCATCAGGCCACAAGGAGACAGCGATACACGGTCAGCAGCAGTCACCTTTACTATGGACCACAGGAGATCAGAAAAATAACCTTGGGAACAAGAGACCTAGGTGCTAAGTGTCATGCTGTAGGACATACAAGAGGCCACTCACAATCACCAGGACAGAACGGCAACCGAGGAGGAAAGGCAGTCCCGCGGCGGTGCTGGGCGCGCTGCAGCCGTGCCCCATAGCAAACCCGGCGTGGTGGTGTGGGCACAGCTCCATACACGTGTGTGGGGCTGTCGGCGTGCCTTCCTTCGGCCTCTACAACAATAAAAGTGTCCACACCTCCTACACAACTCCAGTGTCTCTAGCACAGGTTTTTTTGTTTGTTTGTTTCTTTCAGGAAAAAAAATAAAAAAAGAAAGAAAAGAAGAAGCGAAAGCATTTTGTTCTGAGAAGGGTGTGCAAGAGCTGTTCTCCGGGTGCAGTGCAATGAGGATGGGTAGGAGGTAAACTCCCATCCCGGTGCTGTTCCTGTGCACCAACACCGCAGCCTCCACCAGCAGCATCCTGCAGGTCTTCCTTCTGCCAACCCTGGACAAGGATGTCCAGAAAAAAAAAAAAAAAAAGAAGAGGAAAAATAATTTAAAAAAGAGTATTGCTGCTTCTTCTCATAATATTTTGTCCTCTCTTTTTCCATCCCCCTCCCAGCCTTCCCCTTAAAAATGTTTGCTTTCAAATATTCCATTCCTGCAAAGATTCCTCCCAAGCTCTGAGGTCTTCGCGCTCCACCCTCGCCTTCTGCAGTCAGAACAACTGAGTCTCGATGTCTCTTTGGTTAAAAAAAAAAAAAAGAAAAAAGAAAGGAAAAAAGAAACACCAACAAGAAACACACAGCCCAGTATGATCCCATTCCACCCCGCGGACGCCTGATGGAGGGTGTCTGTGGAAGAAGGAAGCATCAGAGACGCGCCGTCTGCCGTGGGCTGTGCTCATACGGTGGTCGCCGGCCCGAACTGCAGCACCAGCGGCGACGTCTCCTTAATGCGGACGTAGAAGCGTCCCTCGGGCCGGGCAGCCTGCAGGGCCAGCGGCCGCGCTTCATCGGGCAGCCACCGCTCGCCCTCCTCGGAGGCAAACACCAGTCCGAAGTGCTCCAGCTGCTCCTCGCTGTAGCAGAAGGCGGCCAAGCCACCCAGCGCGCCGTGGGAGACGTCTTTCATCTGCAGCACCACCAGCTTCACCACCTCGCTGGCCGACGTCTGGCTGGTGACGTGTAGCTGCAGAGAGACAGAGGTGGGAGATGGGCGGTGAGGGAAGCACGGGGCAGACCGCCGGCGAGAGGCGGATCCCTCGGTACATCCCTGCCAGCCGCGGCGCTGTGCCCGGCCGGGTGGTCCCGGCCCTCAGCCCCCATGAACCCCGTGGCTCCGAGCGCTCATCGAGGGGCTCTGCTGATTTATGCCAGCCAGGAGCCTCTCCTTTGAACTCAGTTCTTCGAGGAGAACATCTTAAAACGCTGTCAAGCAGGCGTGTCCTGAGCTCTGCAACTTCAAATGCCACGTGGGCAGCCTGCCAGGAACCCGGGGCTGCGCTTCAGTTGCATAGAAATCTATGGGACTTTCTTAAATGGAAAATAAATTCCGCGAGTCAGCTTTCCCTCTGCTTCTACCATCCCTGCCGGGTGAAGAGAACCCGGCTACCAGAGCTCCCATCCGCCCCTCTGCCTGCAGGGAACCGAGCGGGGCAGAGCCCTGCACTGGGACACAGCTCTTTCTGCACCTCTGAGGGCGCACACACATGGATGGAGCAAAGGAGCAGAGGCCGTGGAGCCCTGCGTGGCACCACCTAACCGCCATCCCCCCTTGGATCCCTTATAGCCTAGCCCGGGCTCTCAGCAGTGTGGGCCGAGCTGCCGGGGCCGCGGGGAACCCCATCCTGCAGCAGGGGTGGACAGGAGCCGGGTCAGCAGCCAGGGCACCCCCTGCACGGCAGAGGATGCAGAGGGCAGAGCCAGGCAAGGGCCACACATGGTGCCATCCTCCCCCATCCTGCCTGGGCACGGCACAGCCACACCGCTGCCCTCAGCGGGCGCCGGTACCTTGACACTGGTCTCTTTGGAGAGTCCGGTTTCGTACTGAGGGCAGACCCGCAAGGTGACAGAGCCCGGCTTCTTCCCAGCGGGTTGCTCTGGAGGTTCCTGGAAGCTTGGAGTCCACTCGGCCGAGCGTGTGCGGCCGTGCTCGGGGCTGTGCGTGGAGCCAGTCCCTGGCCTGCCCTGACCGCCGTGCCCGCCGGTCCTGCTCTCCGTCGGGGAGCTATCGACGGAACCGGGACACGATTTCCTGGTCACCGGGCAGAGCGGCTTGGGGAAGTCCAGGCTGTTGGTCCGCACGCAGTAGGCCTGCCGCTTCTCCGTGACGCGCAGCAGCTCGATCTGACGGCTGGGCAGCACGAAGTCGCTGTCGTAGAGCTCTGGGGGCGGCCGGGGCTCCGGCGGGGCCAGCGGTGCGGGCTGCAGCTCGTGGCTCTGCAGGACGTCAGGGGCACTGTCCCGCAGGCTGCGTGCCGCCCGCCGCCCGCAGCACTCGGGCCCCAAGGACACCAGGTCCAGCTCCTTGGGGCTCTGCGCCCTGCTGGAGTCGTAGTCGCTGTCAGTGGCCAGGAACACCTCGGAGGAGCCCTCCTCATCCGAGAGCCCGTGCAGGTCTGCGGGGGAAGCACAGAAGGGCTGTTGGCCACTGGGTGTCTGCAGCGTGCTGGAGCCGTGCGGTGCCAGGTCCTTACCGGAGCTGAGCTTACGGCTGCTGTCTGGTGAGGGTGCTGGGGAGGGAAGGAAGTCGAGGTGGGATGAGGAGGAGTGGGTTTTCTCCTTCATGGCTCCGCTGGAGGTGCCGAGGAAGCCGTTGAGGGACAGGCCGCAGGAGGGCTGCTTGTAGCGGGCATGCTGCAGGGCATCCATCATCCAGCGCATCTCACGCCAGATCTCCTCCATTTGCTGCCAGAGCAGGAAAGAAAGGATCCCTTTCATGGAACAAACCACCACCACAAAAAAATCGAGCTGAACCCCTGCCTATCCCCACACACTTTTCCTGAGAGGCCCAGAGGAAGCATCCAGCTCTCTAACCAGGACTTTAACACGACTACTTAGGAAGAACTCACCAGACCAAGTCCTGACACTGCAGTGTCCCTGTGGCAAAGCAGCACGCAGTCCCCTATGGACGATCCTGCAGCCCTCCCAGCACATCCCTGTCCCAGCCACATCCCACACGCAGCCCGGCTCACTGCTCTGGTACCTGGATGTACTCCTGAACCTGCTGGTGCCGCTGCTTGGCGGTGGAAAGCTCGCTGTCGGAGAAGGCTTCCCTGAGGCTCTGCTGCGAGAGGAGGGACTCCAGCTCCAGGAGGGCGGACACCTGGCAGTACTGCGTGATGAACTCCCGGTCGTACGTGAAGAAGTGCACTGAGGGATGAACGAGAGGAAGGGAATGAAAAATGTCACGTCCCTATGGGTCCCTCCCCTCCTGCTCAATGCAGAAGGGAGGCAATGCTCTCCTCTAGCTGGCCTGGAGCAGCGAGGAGCCGCCAGCATCCCCCCCTCTGTCCTGGGGGAACACAGACAGCCCACCCCAAGGGGAGAGCACCATGGACAGGTGTGGGCAGTGCGGGCCACCGCTCTTCTCACCCAGCTCGAATATCTGCAGTGGCAGTGTGAGGAAGCCAGACTGTGGAGTATAGGGGTTGTTCTGGCCTGGCGCCGTGCAGACGTCGTCTGAGGGAGGCAGCAGCAGCAAGAAGGAGACCTGACCCCCAAAGTCTAGCACCTCTTGGCTGTACAGACGGAAATCTTTCGCCTGCAAGAGTCCGTCCAAAAGACACCTCAAGTAATGGCTGCAAACGTCACCTCCCATGACCCTGGACCTCGGCTCCCACCCGCACCTCTTGCAATGGGATGTTGACCAGAGCCATCAGCTCCTTGATGGCCACCTGGAGCTCCTGAAACAAGTGGTTTGGTGATGTCTCATTCTCGGACTCCACAGAAATGGGTTCTTCCATGCTGGCCATCTTCTGCAGCCATTCCCACTCCTCCCTGAAAGACAGCACGCAGACACATGCTGGATGGAGCAACTCAGGTGGCTCAAACAAGCAATCCCGATGAGAGCCATGCTGGCTCAGCTGCTCCACCCTGCATGGCACTCCACTCCAAGGGACATGGGAGCTACAATGGCAGCAGGAGACCTTGGTTTGCTTCATGCCCACATGGCAGGGATGGAGCTGAGAGGTGATGCTGCTGCTTTCTGGAGCTCATGAGCAGGAGGCAGAAGCCAAGGATGCTCTAGGGCTGGATGAGGCAGTGAGACCTGGCTGCCCCCAAAGCCCCACCTGGAGATGTTGGGGTTGGAGCGGATCTTCACATGGCACAGGATGTTGGGGAGCTGCTCAGGCACAAGCACCCGGATCTGGTCCACAGCACTGCAGAGCTTCAGGTAGCCCAAGTAGAGGCCCGGAGGGAGGGCATGGCTGCTCCGCTGGTGGTAAGCCAGCTTGTCCTGGGGAGACAGGAACCGCTGGAGAGAGCCAGCCTTTGTGGCAGGGTTCTCTCCAGCCCTTGTGGGACAGGCCAGGGCAGCCTCGGTGCGCCGGTCAGGACCAGCGGCTGTGCCCCCAGCCTGTTATCTGATTGTGGAGCAGCACCTGCACGGAGATGAGCAGTGAGTCCAGGGCAGTGGGCTCCTCTGGGGAGGACACGGACTTGCGGCTCGTCTGCAGCTTGCAGATGGGCACCCAGCGCACGCTCTCAAAGGTCTGGTTGGTCTTCACCTCCTTCAGGGTGACAATGAGGATGTTGCCCTGCTTGTCTTTGATGGGCTCAAAGAAGACTTGCCCCAGGTCCTGGATGCCCAGCAGCCCCTGCACATAGCAGTGAAAGACAAGAGAAAGCAACAGGTCAGGGGACAGTGCTCTGCTGCTGGAAACCAGTCGCAGAACAGTCCTTGGTCCCTCCCTCTGCCATGGAGCTAGCACATTATTGTCCCTGTGAGGGGACCCACTGGTGATGACAAGGTGATGGTATCACCTGCTCCTGCTGGCCCAGCTGCAACCTGGTTGCACTGGGGACTTTCCCACATGCTGCTCCAAAGGAGCCAGCTCCCAGCACCCCCAAAAAGCGCCCTGCAAGGCAGCAGGGACAGAGTGCTGCTCTCGCTCCCACCCCCCCACCTTCACCTGCATTTGCGAGATGGCCAGCAGCATCTTGAAGCGCGTCTGTAGGATGCAGGAGCAGGATGACTGGGAGACGGTGACGCACTGTCTCAGCCACAGGATCTCGTCCCACATGCATGACACCTGCAGCACAAGCAGCAGCCATCACTGCCAGCAACCCAGCTGAGCCACCTCCCACAAAAGTGCTTTGAGGAAAACCTCCTCGCGATTCACGCTGGGATGGGAAGGTGCACGTGCACGGATCACTTTCAGCAGCAGGGGTGCATTTTCTTACACCGAAGGCACCCCTCCTAAAGAGGTTTCTGCCAAGAGGGTGTGCTCCCTCTTTCTCTCTTGGTAGATTAGGATCCTCCAGCAAGAGATTTTGTGCTTGAGCTGCCCACCCGCCTTTTTAGTGAGAGCAGAGGCTCAGGCAGCAGCATCCTACTCTGCATGGGAGAGGCAGAACCAAGGATGAAACTTCGAGGAAGGCACCCTGCAGTTCAAGACACCCCTGGAGAGCATCCAGTGTGGTGGCTGCCACCATCCAACCAGTGCCTGGGCTGGTGGCAATTGAGGGAGGAGACACAGGCTGCAAGCACAGCTGCCACACCACAGTGCAGAGCACGAGACCATGGGGCCATTTACCTTGGTGAACCACAGAAAGTCCTGCATGAGCAGGCAGGAGTAGGTGTCATCGATCTCCACCACCGGTATCTGGTCTTCGTGGGTCACCAGGATGTTGTCGTCCTTGTAGAAGATGGCTGTTAGGTAGAGGCCCCTGCATGGGAGGACAGACAAGCTGTGGGGTCACCCATGGCACTGCTTCCCAAAGTGTCTCCCCGGAGGGCAGAGGAGGTGTCCATGGGTCTGAGCTCCTCTCCAGCACCCCGTAGGCAGTGAAGCAGAAAAGGCACTCGTGGGAGAGTGGCAGCAGGACCAGGAACCTGCATGGGCAGCAAGGTCAGCCTGGCTAACACCATGTCTGACACGAGCAAGGGAGGTGTGGACAGGCTTGAAGCATGAAGGTGGGAGGGTGGCAGGGTCTGGAGGACGGTGAGGTGTTGGGCAATGCATGGAGATGTTATAGAGATTTGAATAGAGGCACAGCTTGACCAGTCCAAGTGGAAACATTTGATTTCCAAGAGATGGGATTGGTCCCCATGATGGCATGGGACCCACCCCGAGCCCTGGCTGGGTAGTCCCATGTCCCCGTGGGGTGAAGGGCTGTGACGTCCCTGCACATGAGCCTCTCACCGCTTCAGTGTCTTGAGGAACTTGCTGCCGGGGTGGAAGAGGTGCTTGAGGCTCCTGGAGACCGAGTGCTTCCTGCTCTGGGGCTGGTTCTTGCAGGGCTCTGCGAGGCAGGAAGCAGAGGCATGAGAACAAGAGCAGCTCTGGAAGCCCAAGCGAAGGATCTGTGGGCTCTTCTTGTGCCTCCCCTGCCTGAGATGCTTCCCTGCTGCACCCACCCCATTCCTATGTGCCATCCCAACCCTTTGTGTCATATTGACTGACGCCCTGGGGGGCCACGCCGTGCTGCAGGCTCACCGTGGCAAATGCAGTGCTGGTGGACGGTCTTCACCTGGCCCAGCAGATGGTCCAGAGCTTCAGCCTGGCCTCTCCGTCGTGGAGCCCGGCCATCATACTCCCGCCAGTCTGCAGGGACAGGGTCAGTGTTACCTCCATGCAACCCTCGCTGTGGGGATGCCCCATCCCTGGTACCCCAACAGGACAGGGAGTCTCCCCTGCTGCATTTTCTGAGGCCCCATCTGCAGTACTGCGTCCAGCTCTGGCCCCAGCACAGGGATGTGGGGCTGTTGGAGAGGGGATGGAGGAGGACGTGGGGATGTCAGAGGATGGAGCACTTCTGCTATGGGGACAGGTGAGGGATGGGGGTTTAGCCTGGGGAAGGGGAAGCTCTGGGAAGACTTTACAGTGACCTTCCAGCGCCTAAAGGAGGTTACAGGAAAGCTGGGAGGGACTCTTTTATCAGGGATGTGGTGACAGGACAAGGGGGAATAGCTTTAAACTAAGAGATGGGAGATTTAGGCAAGACGTAAGGAGGAAATTCTTCTCTCAGAGGGTGGTGATGTGCTGGCACTGCTGCCCAGAGCTATGGGTGCCCATCCCTGGAGGTGCCAATGGCCATGGATGGACCCTGATCAGTCTGCTCTATGGGAGCCCACAGGGTTGGAACCAGATGGGTAAGGTCCCAGCCCAAACCATGTCATATGTTGAGGATCCACCGTCCTCCCCCAGGCAGCAGGACCAGGACATGCAGCACATCTGGGGACCAAGAGCCACCCTGGGGGCAGTGCTGCCCCCAGGGGCAGAGGAAGCTGAACCAGCAGCACCCCAGGGCCACCAGCTGTCCTGCAGACGGGGGATGGCAGAGGTCAGAGACAAGGTCCTGTCTGTTGCTGCCACTCTTCACAGGGCTTAAAAAATCAAACTCTTTCCAGTGCCTTTCTCCAAGTCTTCCCTGGAGCTGCAGCTGAGCATGGGGTTCCCAGGTAACACGGCTGAGCTCCATGGGACCAGGACGGGGCAATGACACTTGTACACTAATTGCTTTGCACACCCCCTATCCTGCCTGCTGCTGTTTTCCATGGAAAGTTCAGCTCTGTTAACTTCAGTTGAGGTTGGCCACTATTTTTAGGAGCTTTAAAAACACCCAGGGAGGTGCCTGACTATATTCTGCTGGGCTGGGGAGGGATCCTTGGTGAGGGGAGAAATATTAATGGAGATAAAAGCAAGAAAAATCAGTTATGTCTGATTCATTTCAGCTGCACTCTGTATCTGCACCATGCAGATCTGACCTGTGCTGGACAGCAAAAGGACTGCAAGGGAGCAAACAGCAACAGTACCTGCTGCCAGGGCAGGGCACAGCCAGCATGCTGCAAGAGCTGGGCAACCCATTTATGCATCAATGTGTGTGCAAATGTATAAGAGATGCCACAGGCTGGAGGCAGCATCCCCCCCAAAGGCAGCGCTGATGGCTCTATGGCTGAGCCCCACAGCCACTCTGCCCACTCCAGGGCCAATCAGCAAACTCCAAATGTTGAATCCAGCTCTGAATCCACCCCTGCTCCACGAGACCTAACACCTCATCCCCAAAGCTCCCCCTCCTGCCCCATCCCACAGCCGGGTGCTGTACTTACTGGAAGGGATGGCAAATGGGGGCACTGAGGCTTGGGGGGGTCCCCAGCCCTTCATGTTGTAGGCAGACACCTGGACATAGTAAGCTGTGCCCTGCGGGGGGAAACAGTGCTCAGGATGGTGGTACTCAGCATATGGGGCAGGTAGGTGGGGAGGAACCTCAGAACACGGCAAGGAGCACAAAACTGGACCTCACAGCCTGGTACCCAGTCCAACTACCCCCAGCATCACTGCACATGTGATGGATGGGCTGGGGCATGCTCCCTGCCCAGGGCTCTGCCCCGTGCTGTCCTTCAGTGGAACAGGACAGCAGCTCCCAGACCACGGTGCTGCTGGCTTGTCCCAATACCCTCATAGAAGGCTTCATCCCACTCTTTGAACCCACCAGTGCCTCTCTACCCCAGAGCAGGACGTGCTAAACTCCCTTCCTATGCTCCCATTCTCCACTTCTCCCATCCCCTCCCAAGCCCTCATTCTGCCACCGTCCCCCTGCCCAACAAGCTGCCATCATGTCCACCTGCCCCACACACAGAGCCCGGCTCCAAGTCTGTCTGCACTCTGCTGCCCCCACATCCCAGCCCCCAACTCACCGAGGTCAGCCCACGGATAGTGTAGTGCAGGCTCTTCAGCTTGTCCACCACAGCCTCCCCAGCCAGCGGTGAGAAGGAGGGGGAGCAGCTCCACTCCACTGCAACGAGAGACCTCGAGGTGCTGCATCCATGGAGCACCAAAGGAGAGGAGGGGACAGGGGGGTGACCAGCCAAAGCCAAGGGACACAGCCTGATGAGTGAGCGGTGGGCCGCAAGCCGGCGATGCTGATGGGAGGGATTTTCCCAAAAGCCAAAGTATCTTTCTAAATGGGTGAGGGGCACAGGAGCAGATGCAAACCCGACCTGGGCACTGCTCTGGCAGGACCCAGACTGATGGTGATAGGACAAGGGGGAACAGTTTTAAACTAAAAGAGGGGAGATGTAGTTTGGATGTGAGGAGGAAATTTTTTACCGAGAGGGTAGTGAGACATTGGCACTGCTGCCCAGAGCTGTGGGTCTGTGGGTGCCCCATCCCTGGAGGTGCCCTGGGCAGCCTGAGCTGGGGGCGGGGGGAACAGTCAGTCCATGGTGGGGTGGGGCTGAGCGGGTTGCAAGTCTCCTTCCACCCCAACTGTGCTGTGATACCGTGGTTTTACGGCTCAGAGGAGCACAAGCATGGCAAAGCCATGTGCCTGCAGGACAGGAGGGTAGAAAACAAGCAGCACCTTGAAGTTTGCTTTGGTTCAGGTGGGTGATTTAATCCAGCTTGGGCAGTTTGGCTGGAGGACGTGCCATGCCACAGAGTGCCAGGGCTGTGCCACAGCTCAGTGGGGGCTCAGCAGCCCCCTGCAAGGCAGCACGGCGTGCGCAGAGTGAGCCCCCATCACATCCCATTGGCACACCCAGGATGCTTGCTGTCGCCATGTGCTCAGCAATGACACGGGGACCAGGTCCTTACCCTTGTACTTGGTGACGACAGCCGAGTTGACACTGAGGGGCTCACAGAAGGTCACCTGCACCGAGGAGCTGCTGGCCACCGAAAGGTGGACGTTAGCAGGAGGGTCTGGCACTCCTGGGGAAAGAGAATGCAAGTGATGACTACAGTGAGAGCGGCCACTTCAAACCCCACCATCCACCCAGGGGCAACTCCATAGCAAGCCGGTGCAGCCCACACCTCCTCTCCGGCCCCCATACGGCCCCACTCCCTCCTCAGCTCTCAGCAGGACTCACGGGCGTGCTCAAACCCTGCCTTCATGCGCTTGTACAGCCGGAACCGCCACTCCCAGGCCTTCAGCTGCTTCTCCTTCTCCGAGCAGTCGGCGTTGGGGGCCTCGTTCACCACCTGAGCTGTCAGCTCATTGACGCGCTGCTCCGCTTCCCGCACCAGCGTGGAGAGGTGCAGCGAGCGGCTCTCCAGGCTGACGACTGCACAGGGGCCGAGGGAAGGGCAGGAGGGATGGGAAAGAGGTGAGGGGAGGGTGGTGAGGAGCAGCACCTCTGGGAGCAGCACCTCTGTGCTGGCGACAAAGCCCAGCCCTGAGGCAGCATCTCCGCTGCATGCACTTGGGCTCCTTGCCCCCACAGCACCATTACCATTTGGTTCCCTGCTCTGAAATGTGGGGCCAGCACCATCCCCAACTGCTCCATGGTGTGCACAGCATGAAAAATGGGCTCTGCTGCCCAAGCTGGAGCACTGGGGTGCAGCACAGCCTGCTCCCACCCACCACACACACATCCCCCCAGGAATGGGAGGAAGTCCACCAGGCCACCCAAAGCCTCACGCTGTCCCCACTGCCTCTGCTTGTCCCCAGGTAACTCACAGTGCGGGCTCTCCTTCGCTCCCGCCTGCAGCAGAGCCCTGGCGATGGGCGCGTTGTTGGTCATGATGGCGATGTCCAGGGGCAGCAGCCCCTCGCTGTTGGGGGTGTTGAGATCCAGCTCCTCAGGGCTGTACTGCTTCAGCAGCTCCTGCACCCTGTCCAGGTCCTGAAGCTCCACGGCCTCGAAGAGAGCAGCATTGCTCTGAAACTGGATGGAGGAAGACGCGCGGTTCGGCTGGGCACGGAGCAGCCTCCTGCACCCCAACACCCCTAATGCCAACAGGAGGCCTTTGGAGACACAGCTGACAGTGCTGAGTGATCGTACCACTGCTTGACAGCTCCACTCCATGCACCCGTGGGTTTCACGGCCCCCGTAGTGCTCCCATCCCCTTCTCCCCTCCTCCGAGGGGCAGTGACTCTTACCAGGTAGGACTTGCGGGGCTTCTCCTTCTCGCCCCGTCCCGCCAGGCTGCCCTCATCGAAGGATGTGTAGTTGACACGGAACTTCCCCGAGAGGTTTCGGTACAGCCTTTTGGCCGCATTTGGGGAGGATGGGCCCGGCGGCTTCCTGGCCTGTGCCAGCTGCAGGTCCCGCATCTGCTGCGTCATTTTAGGGGACGATGACCTGGGGCCGGGGGACAGAAGGCAGTGAGCACCCAGCCAGCAGGACATGGCAGCAGGACCCACACCAGCCGTGACCCAGGAGAGCCGGAGCCCCAACCTGTCTCCAGCGCTCAACAGCCATTCCTCTGCTTCTGAACCTAACTTCACTCTGATTTTAAGCACCAAGCAAGGAACAAGCACAGCAAAAGCCCTGCAGCAGTCTGGTAGGTTGTGGCACAGTGGTACTGCAGAGCTGCACTTGAGACGATGGTGTTTACAAAGCCATCACCGAGAAGGCAGGATATCAGCACTGACATTGCTACGTGCCCTCTGCCATCCTATTTCCTCAGTAGGCTGCCAAAGTCCTCTCATGTCACCTTTTATGACCGTGGCGTCTAAAAGCGGTGCGATGAGGAGGCTGGCTCCAGCCCACCTCTCATCTCATCGGCTTCAGCCCACGGATTGAGAGGTCTCCACGGATGGAGCAGGCAGCCGTGCCCACAGAACCGCGGCTTAAAGTGAATGGCACTTGAGAGCAAAAGCACATTCCTCTGCCAACTAAAACAGAAGGCAAACGACCCAGCGCAGGCAGAATGCACAGTTTGGAGGCAATTATCTCCGAGACACTAGAAACAGAGGAGATACAGGGACATTTCTCACTGTTTTCCTTCATCTGATTTGCTTCTAATGAGAAGTAAAGAGACGGAAATGATTCTGAGCTCCGGAGTGAACTTCTGTCTATATTAAACTGGCGGCGGCGCAGATAAAAGGGTTCCGTGCCCTGTGGCTGTGAGTCATCAGGACTCAGTGAAAGGGCCTTGATTTATCTAGAGCTAAACTCTGCGGTGGAGCAACTGATAGCTGCAAACAACGCCCACGAGTTACAACCGGCCGCAGCAGCGTGCTCAGCAGCCAGGCTGCGTGCTGTGGGCATGCAGCACCGGGTCAGGGCCGCAGCAATGAGCTCCTTGCTGCAGCTCAGCTGCATTTATCCCTGCTGCAATCAGGCCTTGCTGCTCAGCTGAGGGATGCCCCGGGGTCGGCAGGTCGCGGGTGAAGTCACAACGGTTTTCACAGCGTGTGAGGATGGTTGTGCTCAGCATGGCTTCATTTTTATCACTCTCTTCCACTGGGTGGTTTACAGTGCCATAGTCTCTGCATGTTCTGGGTTTTCCTGTTCGCAGTGCTGCAGATCTCAGCCCAGAAAATAGTGTTAATAATTACTGTAATTATACAATTTAAGCACACTTTGTTGAAGGGTGTGGGCTGCCCAGGCTCCAGCAGAGAACCAGTCCATGTCGGATGGGGCTGCTCCATCCTGAGAAGAAGGAGCTCAAAAGACAGAGGTGGGGAGGAGTTAACTCTTTTAAGGGATGCTGTGGCTTGGGGTGGCAAAGAGACAGGGGCTGGGATCCTGCAGGGCTTCTTGTGGCTGAGTGGCATGGGGGAGGTTTTGGTGCAGAGGGCACTGTTGGGATGTCTGCTCTGAGTGCCAGGGCTGCTTTCCTGAACCACTATCAAACCCAGCTCGAGGTTACCCAGCAAAGGAGCAAGCAAAGCGGGGCAGAAGACCGATGAGCAGCTGTCAGAGAATTGCCAACCCTACGCGGCCAACCTCGGGGAGATTGGAACCAAAGGATCAGCCAGCATCCAGAATGGGAGCTGGCACCACAGTATCCGCCAGAATATTGCCCAAGGGCAGGCGTGCAGACCACTGCCAAAGGGCTCAGAGAGCACCTGCATTTTCTACTATCATCGCCTGAGCACAAGCTATTTTTCAGGACTGGAGAAACAGAGAATGGATCAAAACCGGAGCGTGAGCTCCCATCCAAAATAGTGGGATTTCATAACCCACCCACAGGCAGCCTGAAACCTAGGACACAGCTCTGCGCTTGGCATCCCTGCTTGGCGGCAGTGCTGCTGGGAACGGCGTGCCCCAGCCACCTGCACATGGAGGATTTCACAACCAGGCACCTGGAGCGCCGCTGGGCTCCAGCCTAGAGCCGTGCTGCTCTGCTGCTGGCCAGGCGAGTTGCAAGCACTGCCATTGCTGCCCAACCCCAGGGAAGTACAGAGGTTGCTCGCCACATCAGAGCCCTTTTTCCCACGTGCACGCACCCCAAAGGTATTTAAGTATTGCGCAGAATTGGGTGGTGACCAGGCCTGCAAGGATGGAGAACCCCCAACGGCCGGGCTGCCTCTGCCTGCACTGCTGGGCCAAACACTGCTGAGTGCGATGGAAACATCTGCATGCCTGGAAAATGCACTTGCTTACTGAAACCTGGATCCAGGGAAAGGCAGCAAACAAGCAATAGGGCTTTGCTTGTTTGTGTCCTACAGATTTTCTCTTTTTCCCACTTGGCAAACGCACCGGGTTTTGTTTTGAATGGAGCCGAAACGAGCCTGCCTCTTTTGTTTAGCAATAACAACCAACTTATACAGATCCCATTCCCACCAGGACATTTTTGCTTGGGCTCCAGAAGCCCGACGCTGTCAGCCCAGCGCCGGGAGGAGCAGGGTGTCCCTGCACAGCCATAGAGCCAGGCACCAGGACGCGCCCTGGGAGCTCCCGTGTTCCGCCAGGCAGAGCACAGCGCAGTGAGGAAGCTGGGACCTCCCACGGCACGCGCTCTGAGGCCGGGAGAGATGGAGCCTGCAGGTCAGCAAAAACGCCGGGACTCTGAGAAGGGTCTGGAGCCAACCAAGAAGATCACTTGCTGGCAGCCACAGGAGGCCTCCCATAAAACACACCGCTCCCGCCAGCCGAGCAGTAAATTTGGGGCAGGAAGGGAGCTGAGACACTCAAGCAAACTCTGTTGCAACACAGTCGCGCTGCCGACGTTTCTTTAGGGGTTTTTATTTTATTTTTTTTCCCCCTGCATTGTTTATTTATTTATTTGTTTTAATTAAGCATTCTGATCAGGGTTTTTTAACGAGCCCAGAAGGAGCCTGTGGCTTAACTCCCAGTAATGGATGACTGCAATTAGACTTCCAGCTCCTCGCTCACCCATGAGCTTCCACTGCAGCCGTGAGGGCAGTGGGTGCTGCTGCTCTGTGTGCCAACGCGCGGCCCCTCCGCACTGGGCACCACAGGGCAGGATCTGCTCCCTTCTCTTCCAGTGCCTGGAAATGCTGTGTTTCTGCCTCGGCACATCCAAGGTGCCGAGGTGTGGGTGCTGCAGATTGCCCTGAGGGGCCGTGGGGGGCAGCTCGGCCCCGTCCTGCCTCCATTGAGGGCAAATGCTCTGTGCTTCTGCAGTGCAGCCCTTAATTGCTGCTTGACATGAAGTATCTGAGCGAGGAAGTCTTGGGTAAATGTTCTTGCTATGGGAACACACAGTGCTGAGTCTCTTTAATTACATTGTTTTTGTTTGGCTTTTTTTATTAGTTGCTCTGCGGCTTCCCCTCCCCGACGGGCCGAGCAGCTCACGCTAAATATGGCCGGGCTTAGCGGCCGCGCTGAAACCCGAAGCGCGGCACCAGCCTGGCTGGATGCGGCCGGACAGGGGGACGGGGGGGACGCATTCCAGCGGCCGTGGCCGGCTCCGACCCGCGCCGCTCCGGGCACCTCCACCGCCCTGCAATGCGTCCCGTGCCCTCCCATCCTTCACCCCACGTTCTGCACCCGCAGCCCTCCTTCCCCTCCGCAGCATCCCCCCAGCCCGTGCCCACCGCTGCCGGCACCGCTGCCACACACCTGCTGCCCTCACGCTGCCCACCGGGCACGGCGCTTTCATCTCCTCCTTTCCCCCTCTTCCCCCCCCCTCCTTGTTATTTTAAAGGCATTCCGGAGGATGCTGTCGGGCTTCGATGTGGTTTGGTTGGGTTGTTTGTTTTCGTACTGGAGGTTTTATGATCACATTGGGAACGAGCCCTAATTGAGCTGCAATTCGAATTGCAGTCCGTGGGTATTTGTTTCATTTTTGGAAGGGCTTAAGCTGCAGCACAGCTTAGGCTGGAGAATGCATTTGGTTTTAACTGGAACCTGATGGGGATGGGGCTGAGCGCGACAGGGCTCCGCAGGCCGTGGCCGACGCATGTTGGGAAACCCAACTGGGAACAGCAGCCCCGCAGCCACCTGAACCCACAGCACTGCCCAGACATGCAGCTCACAGCCACCCCGCACAGCCCACAGTGCTCCCAGCTGCTCCAGGAGCAGCAGCAGAGCCGAGCTGCTCACAGGCAGCAGGCGGGACCTAAAGGTCAGCGCCCAAACTGCCCTTCATGGGATCGGCATCGGTGTCAACTTCTGCTGACTGCCCAGCGCCGACTGCCAGGCCCCAGCACTCCACGTACACAGAGCTTCTGGCACAGGTAGGGACGGGAAACAGAAGGATTCCCACGGTGCAGGCGTCCATCTGAACACCGGCCCCTCACCGCAGTGTGCTCCCTGTGCTCCCATGGGTGCTGGGATGCTGGGGCGGGTGGAGGTGCTGGGGGGACGCCCCGACCCGCTGGCACCATCCCGGCTCAGTCCGACTTCCGCATATCAAAAGCGGATGAGGAGCGGGGACTTAGTGCCTGTTTCAGGAAGAAACCCAATCCCCTCACGGCCTGCCAGGAACAGGCAGCGCTCTGTGCCACAGATGCATGTGTGCAAACTCTTCTCGGGGGTATCAAATGCAGGAGCTGAGTCATACGACGCCTGGGCTCAAAGATCACTGAAGGCAAAAGGAGGGGAAAAATTCTCTCTGCGGGGTCACCGGGTCCCTGCTGGGCCCCCCCCAAGGGAAGGGCTGGGATGCTGAGCTGAGGACATATGGCTGCTGTGCTGGGAGGGGTGAGAAGGGCGCTAAGCCATGTGCACCCACAGCTAATGCCATCCCATGCTTAGCTCCCAGTGGGGCCAGAGGAGCTGTGGGGCCAGCGGCTCCATCACAACACTGTATCACTGAGATATAGGGCCATGGGGCCACGCAGCAGGCAGGCCCCCCAGCTCCTCCCAGGCCAACCTGCACATTGGGCTGAGACCTGCAGAATTGTCACAGCAGTGCCAGGCACCCATTTGAACCCAGGCCTGTG